TTTTTTTTTTTGTTGTTGTTGTTGTTGTTAGACGATGAAATAGTTAGAAAGTGAAAGTAAATTAGCATTTCTCCCCACAAACTGTATCCTTAAGGCCCTGTATGGACCGTGGACTTCAAATAGTAACTGCCAAGACTCCAGCACAAGTCCCTCCTCACAGGCGCTAAGCTTTCCTCAAGGGTACATTATAGTTTCACTTTCTGTCCCTAAACAGTTCTCAGTAACCTATCTTAGTCTAAATTTTGCCACTTTTGGTGCTTTGGTGGCTCTGACTTCTGTAGAAAGTTTCCTTCTTGTGTCTTTTCTGTTACTTCTATGTCCGTCCTTTGCCACAACTACTCCAGATCGCTCCTTCAGTTTCTCTCACCTATTAATCACTCCCAACAGTCTCCCTGCCACAAAGTTCCCAGACATACAGTGATCCATTGCTGTAGAGTCGCTTCTGACTCAATGACCCTATAAGACCAAGTAGAACTGCTCCATAGAATTTCCAAGGCTATAAATCTTTATAGAAGCAGACTGCCACTTCTTTCTTCTGAGGAGCAGCTGGTGGGTTTGAACTGCTAACTTTCTAATTAGCTGCAGAGCACTTAACCACTGTGCCACTAGGCCTTCTTAGACCTAAGGTAAGCTTGATGATTTGGGCTCTGGTGGGAAATTTAACACTCAGTTTCTTCTGGGGCAACAATACCGCCACTAATATCTCCCCGCTGCAAAGGATATCATGAGACTCTTAATCAAAACATCCTGACTTTCCTAGCAGCCACTTGGCCCAAGACCATCTGGACCCTCCCTGGAATTTGAATTACAAACAGAGTTAGAGTTTGCTCATTCCAACTGCAGTGCCCAAGGGAGTTCCTGCAGCCCCGACCCAAAGCAGCCCAGTTCTGTGTCTTCCTCGCACTGACCGCACAACCTTACAGCTAAGTCCTCTTTGACTTCAGCCCACCAGAGTCTATTCCTACTGTTTGCAACTAAAGAACTCAGATGATATTTTCCCTGTAAAGGTCACTGTGAAGATGCAATGAGATGAAAAATGGAAGTACTTTGTTAACTGTCAAATGCTACCTAGTAAAAGAATGTGAAAGGATCCTATATGTAAGAGGATAATATTAAACGAAAAATAGAAGCATGCAAAAAACATTTTCAAAAATATGAAGCACATTTGAAAATCAAGGTTAACAAATAATCAGTGTAAAGCATGACATTTGCCTTATTGGAAATAGAGCTAATTATAGTATTAGGTTCTCGTTTCCTCCCTGTCTCTACCCGCAAACCAAGATCTAGGCTGGCTGGACATCTCACTACTTCTCCACAGCAATGATTACTGTGATTGAGGGCCACGTTTTCTATCAGGCCTTTCATTGGTAAGCCAAAAGTGACCATTCATCCAACTAAACTTATAATTACACATACAATCCCAAAACAGAAACAGAAATGTTCGAATCAGAATAAGCTAGCGATGTGTATAATTTTAGGTTTCATGATGAATAAGTCTGTAAAAGCCAAAGATTTTAAACTCGGAAAAAGTTCTGGCTCCTGCCTTATGACCATCTGCTAAGCATCAACCACTTAGGTTCTTTGGGCCTCACAGTAAATTGGTTTAAACCAATCTGAAATGAAAAAGTAAACTCAGGCACTCTTTTGTCAATGAAAAATTCCCTCGCCTATCCCAGTGAGTCTTGAAGACATAAGAAAGACCTCTTGGAGGAAGAGCGTCTCTAGATAATAGAGGAAAGAAGGCTGTCGAGTCACCATGTGTTATGGATTGAACTGTGTCTCCCCAAAATAGGTGTTGGAATCCTAACCCCTGTCCCTGTGGATGTAATCCCATTTAGGAGTAGAGTTGTCTCTGTATGTCAAGGAGGCCATACCAGTGTCTTCAACCTACTCATTTGGAGATTTAAAAAGAGCAGATAAGGGAGAAAGAAGCAAGTACCAACAGAGGGGACGATACATGCCAGTTCATCAAGGAAAGCCAGGTCTTCAGAAACTGAAAGAGATCTTTCCCCAGAGATAACAAAGAGAGCCTTCTCCTAAAGCCAGTGCCCTGAACTTGGACTTCTAACATCCTAAACTATGAGAAAGGGAGCTCTGGTAGCATAGTGCCTAAGACACTTGACTGCTAACCAGAAGGCTGGCGGTTCAAATCCACCAGCCACTCCTCGGAAGGAAGATGGGGCAATCTACTTCCATAAGTGATACTGCCTTGGAAACCCAAGGAGGGGGGTCGCTATGAGTCAGGTCTGACTTGACGGCACATAACAACAACAACAACAAACTATGAGAAAATAAATTTCTGTTATTTAAAACCATCCCCTTATGCAGTATTTGGGTTACAGAAGCACCAAGAATCTAAGACTCAGTGGGATATCCTTCTCAGATCTCAGGTAAGGTTAGGGCAGAGGAACAGGAAAGGTCTGCTGCTGGCATGCTGGAGGAAAGCAGAGGCCAAGTGGCTGAAGAAGAAGAGGTCAATATAAAAAGGTTGGGGAGACAAATAGGGAGATGAAGTTTTGGATTTGAGAGCTGGCCTTAGAGGCACGGGCTTCCTATTTAAATAGCAATTAGATGAAGCACCTCTGATCTCAGAAGAACTGAAAACACACTCTGGGGATGTATTCTTTCTTCTCCTTTGGTAGCTGACAAGTAGACTTGACATCCTCGACAGCTCAAATTTCCATTAAGCTTTGGTGAGGACCTGTACCATGGATTTTATTCATCTGTCCCCAGCTTAGCCCCCTGCACTGCAGTAGCCATGTATGTGATACCACAGGAAAACATACAGGGTGGAAATTTGGGACATTTATGACAGTATTCACCTGACACCACCCCAACAAAATAAATTCCATCAGAAAAAATATCACTTATAATATCTCTTACACTCAGTGAGAACATGAGGATGGATCAGGACTCTACCATGGTGAATTAGGATTTGCTGACTAATGACAGGTGGTGTTTATTTATAAACCTCACTTTGGGGCTTCAAAATGAGGCGGCTGAAAAGAAATAATTTTTTAAGTTAATTTGTTAAATCGCCTGCTCTTCAATCTTGATGCGGTTAACTGGGCAGCTTCTGAAGGCTTTCAGGCTTAAACGAATATTTGTGTTTGTTTTCTTTATTCTCAGTAGCAACTGACTTAATCACATTACTCTCGTATACATGTCACCACAGATCTATAAACTCATGTAATGGATTCACTGATTCCAAATAATACACTTAGAGTCAACACTTGTTTGTGAGGCAGACCAAGATGCGTTCAGCAGGGCTGACAGTACCTTAAATGCCACTTGAATGATTTCCTCTGTGTTGGCAGGATTGCACAAGACAGCCAGGCCAATCACATACTCTCGGAAGTCGATACTGCCATCATGGTTCTGTGAAAGGAGGGGAGAAATCAATTAGGAGGGTCACTAGTTGAATTACCACTCATCACAGCTCACAAGGTGAAATTGACCACCCAGCTCAATCCTCAAACACCGACACTAATTGGAAAAAAGTTCACATTGAAATGGAATAGCAAGCAAGCAGCCCACCCATTCCTATTTTCAGAGGGAACTATATATATACATATATATGTTGTTGTTATTGTTGTTATGTGCCATCGAGTCAGACCCGACTCATAGCGACCCCTCCTTGGGCTGCCGAGGTAGTATCACTACGGAAGTAGATTGCCCCATCTTCCTTCCGAGGAGTGGCTGGTGGGTTTGAACCGCCAGCCTTCTGGTTAGCAGTCAAGTGCCTTAGGCACTATGCTACCAGAGCTCATAGCTCATATATATATATCTATATAGATACATAGATATAGATATAGATACATAGATATAAACTAAACTCAAACTCATTGCTGTTGAGTCAGATTTGACTCATAGTGACCCCTCCTCAGGTTTCTGAGGCAGTATCACTATGGAAGTACATTGCCTAACTTTCCTTCTGAGGAGTGGCTGGTGGGTTTGAACCACCAACCTTATGGTTAGCTGTCAAATGCCTTAGGCACTATACCACCAGAGTTCATACACACACACACACACACACACACACACATATTTTACTAGCAATAAAATATAAACATTTGATCACTGAGGACATTAGGGTGCCCCTACAGCAACCACAGTGGCTTCTTGAGCTCTGCCCTGATGGGAACCCCAGTGGGAGGCAGGATCCAGGCCATTCATCCTAGGTGGTACCAAACCATTCATTCCCCCATGGATGATGGTCCTGCCATGATGGCCAACACCAAATACTGATACATACCAAAGGGTCACAAAGCAATATGTGGAAAACGGAAGGAAAAGGAGAAAGGCAAATGGAGGCAATAATCAGAGGTACGTTCCTTCCTCCTTCCAGGCTCAATGTGCAGTAAACCAGAACAGTAGGGGCAAAGCTGGGCCCTTCAATGGCTCCTCGGGAACATCAGACCCCAGAAGATGCTGACTTCACAGAAGCTGCTGTGGCTAAGCCTCTGGAAACTGAACACACCTGGCATGATATTAATATCTATAGGCCTCAGGAGGCATTCCATGATGTCAATGCACTTCTAGGAATTTTAACCCAGGCTAAGCACATTTTAACCCAGGCTAATCACAGAGGTTTTCCTCTATATTAACTACACATCTAGACAGGAACACCACAGAATGAAAATGGAGAGAAAGGAAAGAGAGCTTAAGGAAGTTCTTTAAGGAAGAGAGTGGCAAAGCAGAGAGCAAGGGAGGGGTGCTGGAAGAGAGAGAAGAAGAGAGAAAACTGAAAGAAGGAAAGGCGGAGGAGAGGGAGAATGAGATGCGGAGTAGAAAAGAAAGATGGAGCAGGGGAGGGGAGAAGGAAGAGGGAGAAAGAGAAGTGTGGACACACACTCTGATTATACATCCCAGGTGTTAGCGTCACCCTGGCAACAAAATCTTCCACCGATGAATTCCCAGACAAACGATGGACTAGTAACAACAAAGCTAGCACAGTGACTGATATCGAGTAACAAATAATGTTTGGCGTCAGTAAGATCGTAATCTTCTGCTCTAAGTATCTACACTTCAATCATCAAGACTTCCTTGAGGGCAAGGACAGTTCTTCTCATGCCAGTGCAGTCCCAGTGCCTAGCACACAGGTAGGCACTGAAAACAAGGCATGGTGAACATGGTAGAGGTGGCGGCTGGGAGCTCTGAAATGGTATGTGAGTTTTGTACATACATTCCTCTAGGGGAATATTCTGTGGCTTTATCAGCTTCTCAAAGTAACCAAGACTCAAAAGGTCAAAAATCACTTCTACCATATTACTTTATTTTACTGCAAGGTGGAAATGGAAAGCATTGATCATTTAATCTAACTTTCCCACTGGAGAAGGTAGAAACAAGGAGGTTTCAAAATCTTCCTAAAGTAACAGGTTTATTCCTGGGGAGAGTGGGGGGACCCCTGTCATCAGACTTCCATTTTTTTTTCTGGATGCCAGCCAATAAGAGAGCTGTTTTTTTGGTTGTTGTTATATTGTTTGTTTTAAAACCAAATTTATTGAGGTATAATTTACAGTTGATAAAATACATCCCCTTTAAGCGTACAGTTCAATGCGTTTTGACAAATTCATATACCAGGTTAAACACTGCCACAACCACCCTTTTATGCACCCCAAAAGTTTCAGAGAAGGCAGACTATAAAGGGGCACAATTTCCTTCTTGTGCCAGTAACATTTCATTTTCTTGTGCATTACGGAGGGCTGGTTTACACTTAGCCTTAGAGGTTCATGAGCTTATGGAACAATGGATATATGACTCAACATAGGAAATTTCTTCTGCAATCAGTTTTGTCCATTAGAAAACATAGAAGTTTTGAGTGGAAATTCTTTAATTAATCACTGATTACTTATGTGCACTGAAGTTATGGCCATAAATTGTCTATGTGACTGGAAACACTCCTTTAAATGTATGTCTTTACTGGGAGGCACCCGATTTTTATTTGTACTAAACCCAATACAGAATGCAGGTCAAATATCGTAACTCAATTTACAGATGGAGAAGTAGAAATGTAACAGGCCCTTAATACTCCCACTATTCACGGAACCAGGTTACAATTTTCCATGTTACTTTCATTAGAGAAAAAGTCTTCTATGACTATTTGACTGACAGAAGAACACTAAGGCACATTAATCACATGAAAAGTTATACAGAAGTTTCCATCCTAGTAACGTACAGAAAATGAAAAGCAGAACCAAAGTTTTTGAGAACTTCTATTACTGGATTAATAAAACCAAACATTCTCAAGTTTCTAAATTTAGAATACTAAAATTTAGACCTGGAAGGAATCTTAGAAATCACCCATTCCAGCTTTTTACTTTTACTAATGAAAAAACTGAGATACAAGGCTTATTTAAGGTCACAAAATCTCCCTATTTCCATAGCTACAGTTAGAATTTAAGGAGTCTGACTCCTGATAACTCAAACTAAAATAGCTTAATAAAATAATAGTATTAAAAAAGAGAGAGACTAAAACAATTACAGAGCAAAATACACTCCTTTAATTTTTTTAAATATGGAATTGGTTCCACGATAAAACAAATATTCCTCAAATCTGTGTTTCTTTCATTTCAAAACCTATTAAATTCTGCCAGGAGAATGGTGTATTAAAAAAAAAAAAATATATATATATATATATATAGATAGATAGATAGATAGATAGATAGGGAGCTCTGGTAGCATAGTGGCTAAGACGCTTGCCTGCTAACCAGACGGCTGGTGGTTCAAACCCACCAGCCACTCCTCGGAAGGAAGGTTGGGCAATCCTACTTCTGTAGTGATACTGCCTCGGAAACCCAAGGAGGGGTCGCTATGAGTCGGGGCCGACTCGACGGCACATAACAACAACAACAACAACATAGATAGATAGGAAAATATTTCATGGCCATGTGCCAAAGGAGGAGATCAGCTTTCTGGAGGGAGGCCCTAATCCTGCCATTAAAGAAAAAGTGCTGTGGAGTCCATTACGACTCATACAGACCTCATGTGATCAAGTGGAACTGCCTCATAGGGATTTGTAGGCTGTAATCTTTACAAACAAAACCAAACTCACTGCCGTTGGGTCGGATCAGACTCATGGCGACCCCTCCTTGGGTTTCCAAGGTGGCATCTCTACGGAAGTAGATTGTTCAGTCTTCCTTCCCAGGAGTGGCTGGTGGGTTTGAACCGCCAGCCTTCTGGTTAGCAGCCCAGTGTTTAGTCACTGTGCCAACAGGGCTCCTTTAATCTTTCCATAAGCTGCCTGTGCCTGGAGTCCAGGACAGCCCAGAATTGCAACTGAAGGGTTGTGTTGTGTTACTGCCCAAAGAAGGGGTGACTAAGCCTTGCTGAAACTCCATGCAGTGGGCCCTGTCCCCTTTTTGGCCATGAGCAGGATCAGAAAAGCATGAAAGTGTCTGCCGGGATCACTGTGAGCACATAGCCCCCAGTACCTGTCCATCCCCCAAGTCCCACCGCAGCAGAATCCAGGGCCTGCAGGAAGTTCCAGGCTACTTGTTCATACTCTGTCTATTAATAATTCCAAAAGAAGAAATGGTGAGTTTTGTGTATAATTCTCAGGTATCTGTTTCCTAAGGTTATTTCATAGTTGAAATTTTTGAACATTTTTATTCACATGGAATCAGATACTTTATACAACTTCCTAAGTATAGCAACATTTAAGGATATGGGTGGCTACTTGGAAAAATTCGGAGTTTGGACTGAGTTATCTAGTATTCACTCTGGGGATTGTTTGAACAAATTGGGCACAAATTCAGAAGAGAAACTTAGGTAACCTCAGTTTCTGTCTGTTGGAAGAGTATTCCCTCTATTTGAAGAGCATGAGAAATACTTAATACTACTCCTACTGTGCCTAATTGCCTTAATTTTTATAAAACATTTAAAATGAAGTGAGGGAAAAGAGTGTGGCAACACTGTCCTTTACACAATCATCATGTGGAAAGGTTAAATTATATGCTTAATATCCTGAGACCTTAAAAGACACTTTGTCAACTTCCCCCTTTCCTGGCTACTCTCTATTCATGCTTAGTATAAGTGGGCTCATTCTAAATACCACCACTTGTCTGTCAGTGTGTTGTGGCATGGTGGCTTATATGTTGCTGTGATGCTGGAAACTATACCTCCAGTGTTTCAAATACCATCAGGGTCATCCATGACGGACAGGTTTCCATAGAGCTTCCAGACTAAGACAGACTAAAAGAAGGATGTGGCAGTCTACTTCTGAAAAACTTGGCCCCTGGAAACCATATACATGGCAGGAGAACACTGTCTGACATAGTGCCAGAAGATGGGCTCTTCAGGTTGGAAGGCACTCAAAATATGACCAGGGAAGAGCTGTCTCCTCAAAGTGGAGGCAACCTTAATGATATGGATGGAGT